AGAGAAGAATGTGTATTCTGTCGCTTTGGGATGGAATGTTCTGAATATGTCTGTGAAGTCCATTTGGTCCAGTGTGTCATTTAATGTCTTTATATCCTTGTTGATCTTTTGCTTAGATGATCTGTCCATTTCAGTGAGGGAGGTGTTAAAGTCCCCCACTATTATTGTATTGTTGTTGATATGTTTCTTTGCTTTTGTTATTAATTGGCTTATATAATGGGCTGCTCCCATGCTAGATGTAGAGATATTTACAATTGTTAGATCTTCTTGTTGGATAGACCCTTTAAGTATGATAATAGTGTCCTTCCTCATCTCTTATTATAGTCTTTGGTTTAAAATCTAATTTGTCTGATATAAGGATTGCCACCCCAGCTTTCTTTTGGTGTCCATTAGCATGGAAATTGTTTTCCACCCCAAAGTCCCCAGAAAAATATACACTAAACAAATCAGAAGAGAGCTGAAACTGGGGGAAAAGAAAGGGAAAGAAAGAAAAAAGAAAAAAAAAGAAAAAGATAAACAAACAAACAAAAAAACCGGAATATGATCAAATGTGATCAGGCCAGTACATAGATCAGTGCCACACACTAGATTTTGGGTGTATTTTGGTCTGTTAGAAGAAAGTGCCTCCCAAAATTTTAAAGAAAGAAAAACTTATATATGTACAAAAATAAGGGTAAGTATGATGAAGGGTTGGAATATGACTGTAAAGATGAAAATTATAAAAGATTTTATAAAAGGAATTGATAAGAAAAGAAGTTGGTTGAAAAAAGAAAGAAGGGGATTTAAAAAAAAAGGGGAGATCAGGGAGGAGACTAGAACAAAGCCATACACTAGAGTTTTAGGGTATATTTTGGTCTGTTAGAAGAAGCGGTATCCGAAAATTTTAAAGAGAGAACAACTTATATATATGTACCAAAAATAAGGTTAACTTCTATGAAGGGATAGAATATGATTCTAAAAATGAAAAATAAAAAAGATTTTTTAAAAAAGGGATTGATAACATGTTGGTTGAAAAGGGGAAAAAGAAAAATTCAAAAAAAAGAAAAAGAAAATTAAAAAAATTAACTTTGAAAGACAAAAGAATCATGGGAAAAAAGCCATGAATTCTATGTGCAGTGTTCCCCTAGTGCTGGAGTTCTGCCGTTCTCATTGATCAGTAAACTTGGTCTTGGCTGGCTGTCCTTTTTTTTTTTTAAAGATTTTTTTATGCTGATCTTCTGGGGGAGGGGCCTGTTGCCGTGGTTCCCAAATGTCTTTGCCGGA